GGCGCCGAGCCTGTGGGTGTAGTTATATGCCATCTTACCACGTGGAGTCCTGTGACTACAATGAAGGTACAGACCTGTTCTGTCACCGGAGTGTTCCTTCATGCTGCTGCCTTAGAGACACACCCTGTCTCCTGCAACCACAGATCTGTTCTCCATCTCTCTAATTCTGTCCTTTAAAAATGTTGCATGTGGCAGTGCCTGTAGCTCAATGGGTAGGGAGCCAGCCACATACACCACGGCTGACAGGTTTGAACACAGCCCCGACCTGCTAAAACAACAATTTCAACTGCAACAATGACAAAAAATAGCCAGGTGTTGTGGTGGGCGCCTATAGTCCCAGGTACTTAGGAGGCTGCAGCAAGAGAATCAATGAAGCACAAGAGTTTGAGTTGTTATGAGCTGCGACTCCACAGCCTTCTACTGAGGGCAACATAGTGAGACTCTGTCTCAAAAAAAAAAAAAAAAGAAAGTTGCATAAATGGCGCAGGTGCAGTGGCTCATGCCTGTAATCCCAGCACCTGGGAGGCTGAGGTGGATGGATTGACTAAGCTTACAGGTTCGAGACTAGTCTGATCCGAAGCAAGACCTCATTTCTAAAAAATAGCCAGGTGTTATGGAAGGTGCTTGTAGTCCTAGCTACTTGGAAGGCTGTGGCAAGAGAATTGCTTAAGCCAGCGATCTCAACCTATGGGCTGTGACCCACAGGAACTGTACTAAGGGGTTGCAGCTTTAGGAAGGTTGAGAACCACTGGGTCTTAAGCCCAAGAGTTTGAGGTTGCTGTGAGCTAGGATACTACAGTACTCTACTGTCTCAGAAAAAAAAAAGTTGCATAAATTGACCACACAGCATGTGACCTTTTGAGATTGGCATGAATAATGTCTGTCCAAGTTGTTCAGAGAGAGGTCTGGAGGGGTACTCCAAACGTGGTAGGACTGGACCCTGACTGGACACCTCCCACATTCATAAATCTGGGACTCGGTCCTTAATTTTCCCTGATGTGGGCTGATGTACACTTCCTTAAGGAATGCAGGGAAGGTTGCTTGGCTCAGATTTATCTTGTAACTTTGTTAATTATTTCTAGTATTTGCCTTTTTTTCCATTTTAAAAATTACATTTCCCCTCATTTCAAAGATTATGTGTTCTCTGTGGAAAATTTTTTTTTTCCTTTTTTTCTCTGTGGAAAATTTTGTAGAAAAGCACCCTATATGAAAAATACCCATGCTCCCAACTGTTGAAAATAACTAAAGGTAACATTTTGTTTCCTTAAAGTTTGAATTATGTAAATAGTACTTTTGAACTCTTTAGCACAGCAGGAACATTTCTTCAGAACTGTTTTTTAAGCTTTCCTTTCCATTCTAATGCACTGCCAAACATCCCAAACTCAAACAGCCCCCTGGTGTTAGACATCTAGGGTGTGGTTTTTGCTACCATAACTAATGCTGTAAGCAGCATCTCTATACCAATCTGATATTTCTGTTTCTGGGCCTGGCATGGAGGTAGTTACTGTGGCCTTGGGAGAATTCCAAGAGGGCTTCTGGGGGACAAGTCAGTACGGGGCCTTGTGGGCCAGGAAAGGATTTGGATTTCGGTCCTAAGTGCAATGAGAGGCCTTTGAAGAATATGGAAGATTTTCACTTCAGGGGTTTGTTCATAAAAGATTTCTGTAGGAAATGTAGGATAAAAAAAAATGGGCCAGGCTCAGCGCCTGTGGCTCAAGTGGCTAAGGCGCCAGCCACATACACCTAAGGTGGCAGGTTTGAATCCAGCCTGGACCCGCCAAACAACCATGATGGCTGCAACCAAAAAATAGCTGGGCGTTGTAGTGGGCGCCTGTAGTCCCAGCTACTTGGGAGGCGAAGGCAGGAGACTCGCTTGAGCCCAGGAGTTAGAGGTTGCTGTGAGCTGTGATGCCACAGCACTCTACCCAGGGGGACAGCTTGAGGCTCTGTCTCAAAAAAAAAAAAAAAAAAAAAAAAAAAGTGGGCTGGATTGGTAACTTCAGATAGAAGTCAGAGGTAGCAAAGCAGGGAGCAAAGCAGATGGCCTTGGAGACTCCGTGTCAGCAGCAGGACCTCGTACCCTGGGCCTACAGCATGTAAAGTTGGCCGAATGGATGGTGACACCATTCATTTATCTGAGAACAATGGAGAAAAGCCAAGTGAATTTGGGGAGGGTTGTTAACAGCAGTTTAGGGGAAGAACATTTTTTAGTCTGGGGTATGCTGAGTTTGAGGCACCTCTGAGACACAGTGGAGATGTCAAAGTGGTGGGAATACAGGAGTCTGGACTAGGCTGGAGATCCAGGAGTTAGTGATGTGGGGATGGCAGTGGAGCCAGATGCTGCTTTATGTCACCTAAGAGGGCCTATGTGGTGAGGAGGTCTGGGCCTAAAATGCTAGAAATCTAATCCTTGTTTATCACTGGCAAAGGCCACGGCAACTGCCATAGTGCCCACAGAACCTCATTTTATCAGCAGCCCAGATGGATCAAATGTATATGTGATTCAAGAGCCATAGTTGGTGACACTGGTAAGTCCTCAGGTCCAGAGGCTAAGTTGTCTCAGGAGCCGCAAGTCAGCAGCATGAACTTCAGTGCTGCATGGCTTGGGCGCTCTCCTATGGTAGAATGTTGAAAGAGCCCCACGTCTAGCCACCTCAGTAGAGGTCATCTAGAGTGTGTGCACTAGAAGCTATGTACAAGGAGATGTCTAGAAACAAAATTTTATTCAAAAAAACTGGAAACCAAACAAATGAGAATAAAAGATGGTAAATTTATACAATCAGTTATGTATAACAGTGAAATAAGCTACAGATACATGTTGAAAAATCCCAACTTATGTCCTTGAGGTAGACACTGTTCTCTGGGTAATCATAACATTAAATCATAAAATAAATGACCCTCTAAAATGAACGCATTACAGTGTCAAACACCCTAACATCAAACTCCACATGGCTTCATGGCTGAATTTGGTCAAGGTGATCAAAAATTGCTAATGCCAATGTTGTTAAAGGCATTACAGTGTCTTTTAAGTGATGTTCTGTATTTTATGAACACTGAAAACTAACTAAAATTCCAGATGGTGAAAAAATGTTCATTATATACCTAAAGAAATATGGATGTACTGACTATATCTATTACATAAATTATGCATCAGCCCCATGAGTTAGAACTGGCTCTGTGTCTGCTGGTGACACCTATGTGTCTGACTCTTGTCATTGTTCTTATTCAACTGTCTGACTTCTCCAGGCCTTCTCTCCCTAGAGAGAATGTGTGCTAAACGAGGAACCGACAAAGAGCACAAGTCATCACTGACATAATAGCACAAGAATCATTTCACAGCAGCTTCAGAACCATCTGTACTAAAAGTGACTTTTGTAAAAGAATCTGCCAAAGAACAATCTTGAAATCATTAACTTTAAGTACAGAAAAAAGTACTTAGAAAGAATAAACCAATATACGTATCTATAACCATAACACAAAGAACACAATGAGATAAAGAGGCATATGGGCTATAATAGAATAAGAAAATGTTCTAAATTTAAAAAACACTTTGGCCTGGTTTGAGCAGAAACATTTCAATATATTAAACATTAAAATACTTATAAACAAGGGTACAAGTGAATCTTTCTAAGAGCAGAATGTGAACGTTTTAAAATATTAACTAAGAAAATGACACAAAAAAAAAAAAAAAGAAAGAAAATGACACGAAGGCTATGTTAACCAGTTTGATGGAAGTGTTTCGGATTGTGTGTGAAAACCCCACACTGTACCCTAGAAGTGCATTAATGTACATAGTTACCATTCAATTAAAAAAAAAAATTATAAAATACTTATTCCATCAATGTTGAAATACTTACTTCCCAGGTATTACCCTGTCCACATGGATTCCATACTGTGCTCATGGAAGATATGATTGTTTATAATTTCCTGTGGTTCTGATGGAAATAAAAGGAGAGAAAGCACCATTTTCACAAGAAAAATGAATATAACCTATAAAATTTGGCCAGTTACAGAAAATATCCAAACCTACAGGAGATGTGGATTAATTAAATCAGTAAAAAATCTATTGCCAGCAACTCAACAGGAGATGTGGATTAATTAAATCAGTAAAAAATCTATTGCCAGCAACTCATTTTGCAGTAATAAATAGAGCTACAGTAACAGAGCCTGGAAGCAATGCCATCAAACCAGATCTTTATTTCACAATAAATGAACATCTAAAACAATACAAGCACGCATAATGAAAGCAGTGCTCAAGGGATCACAGCCAAAGAATTTTAAGACAAAGAAATAAAAAACAGATTAAGGACATAGTTTGCAGTTCAATGTTTCTATAGCACAATGAAAGTGAAAGGTAATATAGCCCTTAGACTTAGGATTTTTAACAAACTGTGGTTTTTAATTTAATAACCATGGAATAATGCCCTGTAATTAGCTGTAATTTACTGAGATACAGAGTCCTGGACACAATGTAATGAAAACTGAAACTTCAGAGGATAGAATGGAAAAAATACAAGTCATAAAAATATGATTATTGCTGTAAGGAACTTGTAGGTATCTGTAGAGATTAATCCAAAACTATGCACACTGATGTGGGAGAGAATTTTTTGGCCGAGTGTGTAGCTCTGAGTCTGATCTAGTTTCTTCAGATTCAGTACCTCCTTCTCTGGGCACATAAATCCCAGAAGGCTGGTCACAGCCAAGAACTTCCCAAGACACTAGAGGTCCCAGGTATCACTGCTACCTTTAAAAGGTTTAGCCAACCATGTGACCTTCTGAGGTTCTGTAACATACATATTGGGATCACTCACCCACACACAGTGCTGGAAATCAACCATGGACCACATCAGACTGTCTCAGGGGTCTTGTTTGTTCATAGTTCTTGTCTTCCAGAATACAAAAGACATGATCCTTTTGGGACCAGTAAATTAATAAACCCTGAAATAAACTATGCCAAGACCTGCAAATTTGTTTTCAATAGAATAAATACCAATTTTTAAAATTGAACTATGTCCCTCTCATCTCTAGCTAGAGTCTTCACTGGAGATTGACAATTAAGGGTGAAATAATAGGCAATCATCCTATCCCTGTTGGGATACTACTTGTAGCTCTTAGTACTGATCTAGAATCTTACATTATTTATAAATACATAAGACTACTTGACAGTGGGTGAGATAATAGGAAACCATGTACCCTAATGACTTGATACTACTTGTAGCTCTTAGTATCGACTAGAATCTTACATTATTTACAGATTATAAGATTACTTGACACCACTGTACATATGTGCTTACAAAAGACCCTTTCTTCATTCTTGGATAAGAAAAGCAGAAAAGAGCATCTTGCAGGGTATTGCAAATCCACAACACTTTTATGTCTGGCCATACCCTAAGGCTTTTAATCACGTACCTGAACAGGCATCGCTGAACTATATGACAATGTCCTAGATTACAGCAGGACGATACAACTGTGTGACAGCAGTATACCAAAAACCTTCAGGCATCACTGAACTATATGACAGTGTCCTGACTACAGCAGGACGATACAACTGTGTGACAGCTGTATACCCAAAACCTCAGCATCCTTGTTCTCTGAGTTTATGGTACCAGTGAAGTCAGTTCCAAGCAATTTTAGGATGTCCGTGAGGCTGAGAAAAGAAAGAAAACATAATAACTGATCAAACAGCAGTTTCTAAAGCACTGAGAATTAACCTCATTTTAAGTTAGAGCTAAAAGCAAAACACAAATGGCTGTCTTTATTTGTAGTTGAAGAAAACTTTGACCCTAAGCCATAAATGAAGCACTTTGTAAATTTTTTTTACAGAAGTACCAGCCGCAAGAAACATTTTCCCATATGCTCTGTAAAAGCCTGAGGCTGAGCTACTCACTCATCCATGGTCAAGTGAGATTAGAAAATGCTGTTCCCTGCATCTGAGAGTCTCAGCATGTTAGGACGTTCCATTCTACAGCAGATGCAGTACCTGCTCTAATTTTGTTTCCCTTGGTTTCCCAAAGGTATCTGACCATGACAGAGCCAGCCCTCATTCTGCATCACATGTTCTGGGGAACACACTTTAGAGTAGCAAGTGGCCCTGGGTAAGGAGGGTAGAGGCAACACGCCCGGTGAGCACTCAGTGCCAGGGTACTTCAGTCATAGCTCTCTCAGAGCACAGGGAGCATCCTTTGCTTCTCTGTGCACCCCATGGTGCCCTGTACTTGTAGTCTTGAGAGATAAGAAAGAAAGATACATACACAGAAAGAGGAGACGATCAGAGAGGAAAGGAGGGAAACAGATCTCCCATTCACCTGGCTGCAGTCTCTGAACAGCTGGAGCCTAGACCCACTGCTATCACCTCTCAGCAGCTGTGGCCACAGCCTTTCTTAGCTTGCTCTGTCCCCAAACAAGGTGGATAGGCATGCCACTTAGCAGGCAGGAGGCAGAGCCACCTCCAGGGCTAGTCTAGGCCCAACCAATGACTGAAATAGACTATGTCAGATTCTCTACTAATTGGGAAAGAAACAAGAGAAGAGCAGCAAGGAACAACCTGGAGTGCTGGAAAATAGACCTAAGCAGAGAGTGATGGATAGGCCCAGAGGAGCGGGGCCAGTGGTGGCCTGTCACCTGGGAGGCCCCTACCTTAGGACGGTAGCCCTGCTCAGCCATTGTCCTCGCCTCCTGCTGCAGCAGGGCGTCGGTGAGCTGCTCTGCCTGTCTGGCCTCCTCTTCTTCCTCCTCCTCCTGCTGGTCTGCTTCCCATGCCTGCAGCTGGCGCTCTGCAACCTGGGCATCAAGAGCAAAGTTACCCTGAGACAAGGCCCACAGGGCAGAGCTCTGCCTCTGTTCCAGAGAGAAAGCCTGGGGTCCCACCCAGGCTGGAGAATCAGAGCCAAGCAACAGCAATGGCACGTGCCAGTGGGAAAGGCTGTATGTATGGTAGGTACCATGCACCTTGTGAAAGCTGTACCAATAAGCCAACTGCCAAAAGTTGTGGACAGACAGAAATATGGTCTGGTGTTCCACTTGGTTAACCAAGTGGAGCTGAGCCACAATCAGGAGGGTCAGGATTTCAGCTGAAAATAAAAGGAGGCACTGCCTCTCAAAGACACAAGCAAGCTCCGGGAGGTAGTCAGAGCCTCTGCATCCTGCCCTTCAACAACACAAGAGCCACAGCAGGGCCTGCTGTCTCCAGGCCTGCGTCCCCTTGCTGAAACTACCTCCTGCCCCCAGGCACAGCCCCACCTGAGCTTCCAGCTCTCGTTTTCTGGCTGATTTCAGTTCTTCACTCTCCTCTTTTTCACGATGAGCTGACTCTCTTGCTTCCTCAAGACTTCGGATGAGTTGCTCCCGGTGTTTCAGGGATTCCTCTTGTGCCCTTCGGTTTTGTTCAATCTTTTCTTGTATTTGTTGTTGTCTCCCTGTCAGAACCTATCCTCAGCAGAAAGGAAAAGGAACATTTTAGTTCAACTCTGTCTATGAGCTTTGGACAGGCTGCAGCTGCACCAAGACCCAGCCTAATCCTCGGGCTGGAACACACCAGACAGAAGCAGGGCCCCAACTACAGGATTTGGTCCTATCAATGTTCGTCACGTTTGCCGGTGTATTTTGTACACTGACTGTGTGTTATTGAGAGACAGCTGAGCACTTAACAGATCAGAAGAGTTGGGGATGGAGATACACCTATCCTTAACACTGCTGGCTTTGCCTTCCCCTAGATATTGCTGAAAATAACAGACTTAAATCATGACAACATCAAGAAGAGTTTCTCTGAGGAGCAAAGAGATGATGACAAAAATGTTATTTTGACATTGGTTCCAGCTAAAGACAAATCAAATATAAAACAAATGGAACCAACTGTTTCTTCAACTTTTCATGTCAAACTGAACGATCTTAGGAAACACAACCAAATTCATCTACCTCCAACAAATGAACAATTCAAAGCTCCCCAAGAGCTAGATGTAAAACACCAATTCTTCACTTGCTGACCATTTTGTGTCAAGACACAAAAATTAATAATAAGTGTTGAAACACTGCAGAACTGGTGCAAACAACTCAATTTGAGTACTGATGAGAAAACAGAAGTTTTTCTGGGGCTTTAGAAGCATGCTTATCCTGAACAGAAACATGATATTCCTGAAATATTGGAGAAGGCCAGATTATAGTCATATTCAAGGAAACACCAGTAGAGACCAAGAGAGCAAGGCTCTAAGAAAGTTGCAAAATGAACTGAAAACAGAAGAGACTAATAGAGTTGAAGTGATAATATCAGCTCAGGAATCTTGGCATCATGGGCAAGGACTGCTGTTAAGAGTTGTTCAGCCTAAGGCTGTGTGAATTCATGGTCTGTTCCTGTTTCTGTTAAGGTCCTTCTGATGTAAGCCTCTGATGCTGTGTAGTCCATGGTGCAGCAATCTCAGCAGACACAAAGGGGTTGGGTTCACCTACAGTTTCATGCAGGTTGCAGGTCAGGCCTGGTGTCTGCCACTCCTAGGAAGATGATTTCTCTCTCTCTCTCTCTTACAATCCTGCAGCTTCCCATCCCTGGGCCTAGAAGATAGTATGTCATGCCCTGACTGTGTTAAGAAGAATAAGATGATAATGAAAAAATCACTGACAGTGAGGAAGAAGTAACTTGGTTTGAACACAAAATATTAAAGAGAGAGATATACTTTCAGAATGTGTAACCTAATATGAAGGAATGGAAGAAGAGATCGTCTGAAGGAATCTTTGTGATCTACAGAACAGAATCAAGTGATTAGTAGGACTCCATCATGAAGATGGTTGTCTGGGTGACAGCCCTATCTAAAAAGACCTTTTTGTGGGCCCTGCAGAGCCACTTAAATCACTGCAATTGGGCCAGGCATCGTGGCTCATGCCTGTAATTCCAGCACTTGGGAGGCTGAGGCAGGTGGATTGCCTGAGCTCACAGGTTTGAGACCAGCCTGAGCCAAAGACCTTGTCTCTAAAAAATAGCCGGGCATTGCGGTGGGCGCCTGTAGTCTCAGCTACACAGGAGGCTGTGGCAAGAGAATCACTTAAGCCCAGGAGTTTGAGGTTGCTGTGAGCTATGATGCCACAGCATTCTTCCGAGGGTGAAAAAGCAAGACTCTGTCTCAAAAAAAAAAAAAAAAAGTCACTACAATTGATTTAAAAACAAACAAACAAAGTCAGAGATGGAGCCCTCTTCCTGGAAGCAGAGAAACTTTACAGTGACAAGATGCATCTCCAACCCTCCAACAGCAGGTTCTAAAAAACAGAAGAAAATCACAGGCGCACAGATAACAAGATGGAAAATCTGCATCATTCCTCTAAACTTTGGATTTAAAGTTACTGCTTAAAGCAGCAAAAGCCTGCTATCTTTAAGACTTGAACCCAGAGCAGTGTGATGTCCCACCACCAGCCCAGACTGCAGTTAGGAGTCAGGAATCAGGAAGGAGGGAGCTACCTCCCCTACCCAAAAGTAATGCTGGAGGGCAGGCATGTAAAGTGGTTATAACAAGGAGGGAAATTTAAATGGAGAAAGTCAAAAGCTGCTTAGAATACTTGTATTCACAAAAGTGAGATATCACCAATTGGGACCCAATTTCCCAAGGATTCTAAATGATAGCAAACAGACACAACATACAATTTCTCATACACAGATAATGAAAACTGTCTTCCCCCAATAGATTTCCTAGTGACTAGGGTGTGTCTTCCACACCTTACAGAAAAAGAGAACACTTATGCTCTCCAGTTCACGTCTGTCATCCACCTCAAGGAAAAAACTACACTCTGGAAAAGCCCCATGCACCAAGAAGCTCCCTGCAGTGCATAAGTAATGGCTCAAAAGTTGGGGGGGGGGACCCAGAATCCCCACAAGAGGGGAATGGAGAGAAAACTATGGCACACTCATGGGATGATATAGGATGATCCATAATACAGGCATTAAAACAGTGTTTATAAAGAAGTCACAGCATGTTAAAAATGCCTGAAGTCAAATAGCACAATATAATAAAAAATATGTAGGAAAAAAAACAAAAGATGGGAATAAAGCAATCACAGCTGTGTGAATGATGGGGCTCAGGGGACTTTTTTCCATTTTTACTTTCCTGTACTTCTGATATTTTTCCCAAATGTGCTTGTAATTACTTTTATAATGATTTTTTTTTTTTTTGAGACAAGAGTCTCACTATGTCACCCTCAGTAGAGTGCAGTGGTGTCACAGCACACAGCAACTTCAAACTCTTGGGCTTCAGCAATTCTCCTGCCTCAGCCTCCCAAGTCGCTGGGACTACAGGTGTCCGCCACAACGCCTGGCTATTTTTTTTGTTGCAATTTGGCTGGGGCCAGGTTTGAACCCGCCACCCTTGGTATATGGGGCCGGCGCCCTACCCACTAGGCCACAGGCACCACCTTATTTTTAAAGCCCACTTCAAATGACCAGAGAAGTCTCTGTTCCCAGAACAATTCCCAGACATCTTCCCAGAACCCAACAGCCAGTCCCCATCCACTATAGGTGGGATTACCTCAGACATCAGTCTGTCCCTCGCGCTCTGCTCTCGTGCCCACTCTGCCTCTCTCTTTTCCCACATCTCCTTGGCCTCCTCCCTGGGCAAACACAGAAGGGATGACAGCAGGCTCCTTCCCACCCTTGATGGCAGGGAGTGAGCTAGGAACAGACAGGGCTGCATGGTGCACGTTTCCTGTAAGGCCAACCTGCAAATAAACTTAGCTACGTACTTTTAAAAGATGACAATTAAGGACAACATTTGCAGAAAGTATAAATATTTTAAGTCACCTTAATACCCTATCCCTTACAAAAAGCACATTTGGTAACCTGCACTATGGCCATTTAACACTGAGGTCAACGAAAGCACCAGAATGTGGAGAAGAGGAAGGCACCTTCTATGTTTAAGCCCCATCACCACATGCCTGGGGTCACCAATAGTTCACCTGGCCCTCAAGTGAGTGATCTCAAGTCTCTATGTCCCATGTCCCACCATTTGGCTGGATGTCAGGAGTAAATAAGATGAAGGCCATAAAGCACTTAGCACAGTATCTGGCAGCAATAAGTGCTCAATGTATATGACTTATTATTTGATTCTTCCAATCTACTAGTTTAATTTTTAAGACGTAGACCCATTTTTATAGCCCTAAGGGGCATTCAACATCTCCATAAAAAGATAAAAATTTCCTTTCAAATCTCAAAGAGTTTAGATGAACAGAGATCATTCTCTCAACCTTAATGATTTCTATCTGAAATAATGTAAGGACAGCACCACTATAAGCCAGCTCCATTACCAAAGATGTGTTCCTCAGGAATGAAGGACAAACCAACAAGGACAGATATTTCAGTAACGGGTGACCCTCACAGATGGCCGTTTCAAGGTACTGAACTTGAGACCAGGAGTGTCCTGCCCAGACAGCTCCCACCTCTCACCTCAGCAGCATCTGCTGCTCTGCCTCCCGCGCCTTCTCCAGCTGCAGCTGCTCCTCAATGACCTGCTTCATCCAGGCCACATCAGCCATGGCCTGCTCCCTCCGGGCCAGGTGAACACGCTGGGTCTCATCATCCTTCTCAAGGAGTGCCTCCAGGAGTCGCCTGTCTGCTTCCTAGAACAAGCCGGGTGGTGGCAGATCACTAGACAGAGTACTCGACAGAGCCCTTCTACAGCCCTGGCCGGTAGAGGAGCCTGCCCTCCTGCCCACACCTTTCCTTTCTGCACTGGTATCTGCGATCCATCGCAATGTTCCCAACTAAGATAGAGTTGCAAAGATGCTGGATTATTTCCAGAACAGTCCAGGGATCACCACATGAGGACGGCTTAGGCGCTGCACAGGATCAGGTACTTTCCTTTAGCTAAAAGGAGAGACCCCCTCCACCATCACATGCCCTTGGACACAATCTGGAAGCATGGCTTTTTAGAAGACAACTTGGCAGGATTCTACCTCTAATATAGATGACAACAACACAAACGCTCAAAGATATATGCATGGAATGCTCACTGCTGGTTTTCTGTAAGAGGGAATACCCAGAAACAGCCCCAGTGCCTTTTGGTAGGGAATTAGCTACTATGTGCACCTCGACAGTGGAACCTGTGAAAGTATGAGGAAAAGCTGCATGCCAAGAACGATGGTGCCACGGCTCCCAGTGATCTGCCCTGACTGTAGCAGGCAGGGAGCAGGGGACTGACTGTGTATGCTTATGTGCCCTTTGTTCTCATCTCAGTGAAGGAGCTTGTTGGTGTCCTTAACAAAAACACGAGGTAGTGATTTAAAAAGAACAAGTTCAATCTAAGTATGATGATCTTTTTAGTAATTAGAGATTTATTGTTAAGTATGATAAAGAACACAACTTAATTTACACTTTAAATTAACAACCAAAAAAACACCACCTTTGTGTGTGGGGGTGTGTGTGTACACGCGCACAGGGCAAACACATCTAGAAGGAAACCTCTAAGAAGGGGCAGAAATTGCAGGGCTGGTCAAGGAGGAAATCTTATTTTGTGCTGTGTTTTGTTTTTTAAATAACAGCTTTACTGAAGTATAATTTCATGTTTTCATATAAATATACATTATGAAATGATTACTAGAGTCAAGCCAATTAACATATTCATCACCTCACAGTTATCCTTTTTGTGTGATAATAACACTGAAGATATACTTTCTTAGCAAATTTTAAGAAAATGCAGTATTATCGTTTCTTATAAAGTATTTTTTTTATTTTTTGAGACAAGAGTCTCACTTTGTCGCCCATGGTAGAGTGCCATCACGTCATAGCTCACAGCAACCTCAAACTCTTGGGCTTAAGTGACTCTCTTGCCTCAGCCTCCCAAGTAGCTGGGACTACAGGCGCCCACCACAACACCTGGCTATTTTTAGACACTGGGGTCTTACTCCTGCTCAGGTTGGTCTCGAACTCATGAGTCCAAGCAATCTACCACCTCAGCCTCCCAGAGTGCTGGGATTATAGGCATCAGTCACTGTGCCCAGCATATTTTTATTTTTTTAAGAGATATGGTCTTCCTGTGTTACACCCAGGCTGGAGGAGTGCAGTGGTGTAACCACTGGTCACTATAATCTCCTGTGCTCAAGTGACCCTCCTGCCTCAGCCTCTCAAGTAGCTGGAGCTACAATGACATGCCACCATGCCTAATTCTTTAATTTTTTGTACAGATGGGGTCTCTCTGTGTTGTCCAGGCTAAACTCCTGGCCTCAAGTGATCCTCCTGCCTCAGCCTCCCAAAGTGCTAGGATTACAGGTGTTAGCCATTTCACCTGGCCAATACAGCATTAACTATAGTTAGCTTGCTGTATTATTAGATCCTCAGAACTTACTCATCTTATAACTAGAAGTGTATACCTTCTGACCAACTTCTCCCCATTCCCCTGATCCCTCACTTTGTCTAATTCTTATCAGAATACACTCATATACTAAGTAAGAATATCTTTTCTAAAAGAGTAAAAAACATAGCCAAGCTTTCTCCTTAGACTTACCAGCTCCTCTTGGATCTGCTGTGTACGTCTGTTAAGTTGTGCATTATACTGATGTCTCAAAAAGCGCCTGTAAGTGAATAAAATAGGTTGCCTTCTGTGCCTTATAAAGAAAAAAATGGAGGTTAGATGACTGCTTACTAGGCTTTCAGGGTTCAGGGACACCAATCCCAAGTCTGAGAAAGTAAGAGCCCCCCACCACCACTACTTTAGCAGAGTTAGGAAACCCTTCTCACACATACCCTAGCTCTGCCTTCTGCCGGAAGGCTGCCATCTGCTTCCTCTCTTCCTCCAGCCTCTCCAGCTCCCACCGCTGCTTCAACAGATTTTCCTGCTCCTTCTTCAGTTTGGCCGCCTGTGGTTATGGTGACAGTAAACCCAACCAGGATCTGAGATCATAGAAATCAGATCTTCCTCTCTCCTCTACCTCCCATTTCTGGCAAACACTTCACGACAGAGGTGGCTCTGAGTCCTTCAGGCCCTGCTTAACTTGCTCATTTATCCCATCTCAGGTGAGCCATTTCCTGCAAGTCTTTCTCAGCCCCACGTTCTAAGCTCCCACTGAATGTCTGTCTTTCCACCGGACATGGCCCCTGCCTTGTGGCCAGGACTATGGGTTTTGCTCAGACCCAATCTCTAGCTTCCAGCCCAGTGCTTAGCATCTAGAATAAGTAGTGGGCACTAAGTATCTAGTTACTGACTCATCTGGGCCTAGGAAGGGGTGAGAGGTCAAAGGAGCATGAACTTTCCCTCCCTCTCAAATTAGTATTTAAATTAGCATAGTATTCGTAAAAGGCAGTTTCCTGGACCAAAACCCTTCAAAGTTGATGCCTCAAGACTCAAAACCTGCTACCTATCAAGAGCTGGGTCCTAGACCATTTGACAACATCACGTCTACTTAATGCACTGCAAAATCCAAGGTCTGAAAAGCCTCTCCTACAGCAGGTCTCTAGACACATCTATAAGGACAAAACTGTCTCATTAATGTTCTAGAATCAGGGCATACAACACAGGAGGAGAACCACAGAAGGGAACTCGTGTGAGAAGAGGGAGAGCCCAGCAGTTGTTGCCCTTTGTAGAATCACCACACCCTGTATCATGGCTTTTTAAGTACCCCTTTTATACTAACGAGCAACTACAGAGAGGCAGCCATGGGGGCCAAGAGGGACTTGCACTCACCTCCACCTCCTTCAGCTTCAGTTCCTCCATCTGCTGGAGCAACACCTTGGCTTGTAGTTTATCCTCTAGTTGCCGCCTCTCCTCTTCAGCTTTCATCCGTTCCAGCGCTTCCCTGCGTGTCCTTTCATATTCATTTTCATGCCGTTTGTTCTCTAGCTCTTCAGTGGCTTCTTTCTACAATGGGGCAAATCAACCTGGGAGGTCAATATCCACCCCAAGAGACCAGCTGGAGACCCAGTTCCCTTCAGTAGGCCACAGGGCCCAGACAAATCCCACTCAGTGGTGCAACTGGGGGAGGGTGTGTCTTCCAGGGTTTAGTTTCCTTTATGGGACCCGCAGAAGTGACACTTCCCCAGAGACCAAGGAAGAGTGTCAATGTCAGGTTTCCTCTACCTTCAAAATACTGTCCAGAATGAACCTAGAAGCAAAGTTATCAGTGTGTGGAAGTGTGGATGGTTACCCCAAGAAGTGCCACTGTAGGCCAGGGTTGAAAGTTACATCAAAAGAGTGACAATGATACCCTTAAAGACATATATTCCACCTACTACCTCCTAGCCCTAGTCACCTTTACTCTGCGCTTGTGTCTTATGAAGACACAAGATTCTAGTATATGTAAGAATATTCAGTTTCATTTATTTATTTTTATTGAGACAGTCTCACTTTGTTACCCTTCGTAGAGTGCCATATCATCATAGCTCACAGCAACCTCAAACTCTTGGGCTTAAGCGATTCTCTTGCCTCAACCTCCCAAGTAGCTGGGACTACAGGCACGTGCCACAACACCCAGCTATTTTTAGACACAAGGTCTCGCTCTGGCTCAGGCTGCTCTTGAACCCGTGAGCTCAGGTAATCCACTGCCTTGGCCTCCCAAGTGCTGGGATTATAGGTGTGAGCCACTGCACCCAGCTAAATATTCAGTTTTAACAAGAGCCAAATAAACTGAGAAAGAATCTATTCCTCAACTAGAATCATTAATACTAAAAACAGTAAACAAATTCAAATATATGGAAATAGTCTCACACCATAGCATATTGGACTATTTCCAGAATCATATACCACACCTGTTTTTTTTCTTCTTTCTGCATTTCCCAAGAGTTTACCACATGCTTCTTGTGAAGGTCCAGTTCGATCTGAGGATAAGAATGGGGAGAATATTAACTTACTCACTGGTTCACTGGATAGATATTAACTGTGGGGGATAGCATGCTGCTGCTGGCTTCTGTGCCACATGGTGTAATACAGCTATGACTTCCCCTCTCAAGGACTCAGAATGGCTCAGATGTCCAACCAGGGAGCACAGGGTGATCCTGACATATACGGTCTGAATGCAAGTCAATCAGAAAACCATAGGGCCAGGCACTTCTAAACCAATCTCTCAAGTTAGAACAAATAACAGATTTTTCTCACAGTGCCCCTGGGTTTGAGTGAGAAGCATGTCAGCAGACACTGAAATGGAAACAAAGTTTCAAAGGCCATCCCTGGTTGGTCTACAGTATGGCAAGCCCCAGACCCCGGGAGACAGCTGGGAGAGGGGCACACTGCATCTCTTACCTGGCCCCCCAAAGCTTCCTCTGCAGTGAAGTAGCTATAGAAATAGGTAGTCTCTGTATCAGTGATACAGAAACAGTCACAACAAGTTTGGAGTTAAGAGTAAGAGGACTGAGTGTAGACAATCTTCCATATTAGAAATGAATTGCACAGCTGCATGTGTTGGCTCATGCCTGTAATCCTAGCACTCTGGGAGGTCAAGGCGGGTGGGTTGCTTGAGCTCATAGGTTTCAGACCAGCCTGAGCAAGAGTGAGACCCTGTCTCTAAAAATAACCAGGTATTGTGGCAGGGGCCTACAGTTCCAGCTACTTGGGAGGCTGAGGCCAGAGAATCACTTAAGCCCAAGAATTTGAGGTTGCCATAAGCTATGACACCACAGCACTCTACTGAGGGTAACAAAGTGAGACTCTGTTCTCAAATAAATAAATAGAAATGAGCTTTTGTTTGGGAAACTGTTTAAAATTTCTTTCCCAGCTTACAGATGTGAACATCTGTAACTATCTTTAATGTTTGAACAAATTTTTCTTAGTACACAGCTTTGGAGAAGCCACTGGCCAGGGTATCCACATACGGATTAATTAGCACTAACTGCATAATATTCAAAAGCACCTGGATGCTCCATTACTTAGTGTCTGACAATTTCTTTTTTTTGAGTCTCACTTTATCACTCTCGGTAGAGTGCCGTAGCGTCATAGTTCACAGCAACCTCAAACTCTTGGACTTAGGTGATTCTATTGCCTCATCCTCTCAAGAAGCTGGGACTATAAGTGTCTGCCACAATGCCCGGCTATTAATTTGATGCAGTTGTCATTGTTGTCCAGCTGGCCCCAGGCCGGGCTTGAACCTGCCAGCCTCGGTGTATGCGGCTGGCACTGTAACCACTGTGCTACAGGCACCAAGCCATGTGTTTTGGCAATTTCTAAATGTGACTATAAATATATAATGAAACCAAATGTATACAAAAACTGCCAGTTAAAATAAATTAATGGCAATAGATGGGCTTATCTCCCTGCAGCACAATCTCTGCTAAATGATGCCACCTCTATCTCCTGCAGCTCTGTCCTCCTGTCACCCTAGTTTAGACCTTTACCATCACTTGAAGCCCCTCGACTGGCATCACACCCACCCACCTACTACCTTGACACTGCTGCCAGAGGTTATTTCTCCAAAATGCAGCTGGGCTCCCACATGCCCCTGCTTAAAGTTGTCCAGGTGCCCCCCAGTGCTTCCTGGGCAGGCCACAAAGGCCACTCCACATCTAACATGATCTATCTTGCTAGCTTCATCTTTTGGGGCTCCCTCTCCCTACCTGACATCCCACCCTCACTCACACTAGATGTAGAGCTCTCTGGATTTGCTGTTTTCGTGTCTCAGCTCTGGTTCCTGCATAGCTGCATCTATCTAAAACATCCTTTCCTAACCTCTACAACAGCGGTTTTCAATGTGTGGGTCGCGACTCACAGGAATTATCAAAGGCTCGTGGCATTAGGATGGTTGAGAACCACTGCTCTACACCATCAAGTTAACACTGTCCTTCCAAACTCCTCCATCCCAGCAACTCCTCTGCGATGTCTCCCTGATCCCAGACTAAGTGAGGCATGGCCCCTGCCCCCCTTCCCAGGCGGCCAGCACCCCACATCTGCACTGCAAGAAGCTGTCCACTCTCTCCCTTGCTGGACGGTGAGCTCTTTAAGAACAGGGACCATTTTAATCTCCACACACCCACATGGTGACAGTGTAGTGTGCACCAGATATGTGGCTGGAGTTGCCCTCCTCTGTTTCAACCCAATACAAGATATAGTTTTGTTTTTTTTTTTTTGAGGCAGAGCCTCAAGCTGTCCCCCTGGGTAGACTGCTATGGCATCACAGCTCACAGCAACCTCCAACTTCTAGGCTCAAGCGAGTCTCCTGCCTCAGTCTCCCAAGTAGCTGGGACCACAGGCGCCCACAACAATGCCTGGCTATCTTTTGGTTGTAGCCGTCATTATTTGGCAGGCCCGAGCTAGATTCGAACCTGCCGTCTTAGGTGTATGTGGCCGGCACCTTAGTCACTTGAGCCACAGGCACCGAGCCAAGATATAGTTTTAAAAAAAGAAAAAAAGTTTAAGAACTTAATCTCATCTACTTAGGCACATCAATGGAAGGTTTTTGATTTTTACCTCTCGAAGTTTTGGGTGATTCTTTTTCCAGTGTTCATACAAAAGTTGTTCAGCAATCTATGAAGAAAACAAAAAGGGAAGTTGGATGTGATTTTTCATATACATGCATATTTCATATGACACACAGAAGTCAGCTCAGGCACACAGCATCTCTACTCACACACTGTCACTGTACTTGGTGTTCAAATTGCTCGCCTTGCACCCACAGTTCTGGGAGCCAGACAGCTGAGAAGAACTGGGTAACACTGACAAATGACTCTTACAATAGTAAACAAAAAGGAGCCAAAATCTGATGTCACTGATGGATTCAACCTAGAGGGTCTCAAAATAAGCAGGCTGAAAAACATAGATTGGTGCTTATTGTTTCACACAACTACTCTGGAAGATAAATATACCTGTGCAGGACCACAGAACTAGAATAAGGAAAAGGACCTGGATGTACTAATTTATAGGGCTAAATGGCATAGGGTTGACTTATCCAAAACACACTCCCTGCACAAGAGTAAGCATTTTTCTTGCTGGCTCTAAAGCTAACTGGCATCTCATCAGACTAGAGCACCCAGGAATCACCCCTCATGTGCAATAATGATAGGCCAGGGATGCTCCTTGCCCATAACCACCTGAAAGTCTATGAGAAATCTACCAGTTTCCTTTGCTCTTCTTGGGCTAATTTCAGATTTATGTGTCGCTCTCGGATTTTTCTTTCCCGCGAGTTCATGCTTAGTCTCAGCTCCTCCAGTTCTTTGGCCAGCAAGTCCTGCTCCTCCAGCACAAGCTGCCTGAGTTTCTCTTGTCGGGCTTCCAGACTCTTCCTCTTCTCCTCCTTCATCTTTTCACGCTGATAGGCATGCATGCTGGGTGAGAAGGGGCCCATGGCAAATCAGTCATGCTATAGCAACAGGTAGAATATTCTGCTCTGCTGTGTGGGAAAAAGAGGCTGACCTAGACACATCATGGTGACGTGGGACAGTTTCCCCTAACCAAAGGGAAGAAGGGTCATAGAACAGTATGCACAATAGAAAGTCTTGTTTTTGCAATAAATATATAAATGGGTGGTTTTATATTATTCATCATGTAAATCCTACAACATAGGTTCTATTTTAGTCCCACTTTGCTAACAAGGAAACTGAAGCTCATTCATGCAACAAAAGACACAGTCAGGATTTCCAGTCAGTCTGACTCCAAAACCTATGCTTTAACTCCCACGTTTATTTATTTATTTATTTATTTATTTTATTT